AGGTGAGTTCTGGGCGCCTTCTATCGTATTTACGCGAACATAAGCATTAGTTTTTGCATGCACGAAATTAAAATCCCATCAATAGGCGACTATACGCACTCCCTAGTGTTTTGACTTTCCAGGAACTTGGAATTTCTGGCTAAATTTAGGTTTCCCTCAAAAGAGGAAAAATGGCATCACACAATCTTCGCTCTTCCCTTTCAATCAATGACTCACGCATCTCGCAGTGCTAAAAGCTGATGATTTCTTGATCATTTTTAATTTAAATTCCACACGAACTGAAAAATAGAAGAGCTTGTTTTGTGGGCTGCAAAGAGGAAGATTTCCTGATATAGACGAATATTTCCGCGAATTGCTTGAATAATACGCAGGCATGAACACCCAGATAGGGTTTGAGCTTCTAAAATTGAAAAAGAGGTACAGTACTGTACTTGAATTCGGGTAAATACGGTACATAAATTTTTAATCGGTGTACAGTATTAAAAAAAGAGACAAGCTCTGTTTGATGCTCAATTAGAATTTCAGCAAGCATTACGTAAGTTACGATGCTAGAATTTCATGGCTCTTGAACTATTTACGATAAAAAAGGCGGACATTTGTAAAAGCCCATCAAGTTGGTTTATCCTCAATCATTTACATTTACAATACTCTCTTTCTAAATTTTCACCTACATCATGAAATCCATAAAAAATAAAGTTTCGGTGGAAATATTCTTTCCTCAAAAATCTATCTTCGTCACCCATTCTGACTTGTTTTCCAAACCTATATATTCGCGTAAATACGGTCATCAATTTCGTCTCCAATTCGAGTCAACACGGAGCCCAATGAGGAGAAAAATAAAAAGAAGAAACGAAGACAACTCACCGGTGTCCACGTTGAGACTGGCGTCCGGGTGCGGAAGCGGTTTGTCGTGGAGTCGCAGGTACACTTGTATCGCGCAACGAGCCGCGCGATAGTAAAACGGATGCGCACGCAACGCGTCCTCCACTTTGAGCAGTTCCACATACGACCGCAGTGTCATCTTCCTCAGGCAATACGTGTGGAAGTCAAACTGGTCCTCGAGGATCTCGGAAAAATGCTGCGAACAAACATAGATACTTTTCTGTAAAATCTGCATTTGCCTCCTTTTGCTTGTTTTTGCTCAGAATTATTTTAAAGGGAATGAATCCACGCGACATTCGACGAGACGCGTGACTCGACGATACAGTCTCTGAAGTGAGAAATTACACCCATTTACAACGTCAAAATAAGGCCTGGCGAACGTCAGTTGATCAATCTAGATGCAAATTTTTTTACGAGAATGTCAACTTGATGCGCTCATCCATAAAAACGCCTGTTCTTCAATAAAGGCCTATCTCCAACGAAGGCTAGTTTTAGGTAAACCTTGAAGCAAAAAACCGGTCTCCAATAGTAACCGGTCAAAGAAAGTAGGATGGAAACAAATCTGAAAATTCTCTTGATCCAAAAATCTTTTACATCTATGTATTAAGAGCTAAAGAAAGAAACCCTTTCACATCATCAATTCTTAAAGCATTCCTGTCTCATTAAAAATAAAAAAGTTGCCTTGAAAAGATTCAACTGGTCTTTTTTTTTCTCTTCTAAAAGCCAGTTTCTACTGAACACTTGGAGAGAAGTTCAATGAAACGAACAAAAGGGGCTTTATTAGAGAATATACGGTAAGTCATTTTTAAAAATCTAACAGTTGATGCATTACTGGCTCAAATACGATGATATCATTTCGTGCTCGAAAAAAGAAACAATACTTGAAGGCCCAGAATATCTATAGCGTACAATTGAAAATAATTTCTTGAAAGTTTGTCAAAGGAGTACTGCATGGAATTTGTTGCATTAATTTTCATAAAAAATTATCGAACCCGCAGAAAAATTAGGAAAGCGTTTTCGTCCTCGAAATTTGAAGACGGATTCACAGTGAAGCAAATGTACTTTTCAAGAACTTCGATTTTTCAAATAACTCAGGGTACAATAAAAATGCATTCATGCCCGCTAGTGACATCTACATTCCATTCCACTTTGAAACCATTCGTAATCCCAAGAGATGAAGAATGAAAATAAAGCACAGCGTAGTACTGTACATCAAAAATTCATACCTGAAGGACATTATCTTACCTTAAGGACATTATCTTACCTATACAGTACGTACAAAAAATGCTTTAGATACAGATTACATTAAATCCCTTACAAGACAAATGATTAGGAAAATCCAAATAACGCCAAACTCACTCGATCCACTTCGTGGCATTTCCGCAATGCTTCCCCGAACTTTCCGAGTCGCTTGAAGGCCATGGCACATTCAGTTTGGAACCACATGCACTGCATTTCGTTGAGATTTTCCATAGCTGAAACTCCCTCCTTCAAAGCAGGACATGAATTTTTATTCTTTTTCTTTTTTTCAAACCGTCCGAAGAGGGAGAGAGTCAAAATTTGAAAACCGTACCCGTGTGAATTTCGAACACATTTCTTCAGCTTCCTTCACGAGGCCGGCACGGAGCATGTATTTGGCGCACTTTGAATTGAGATAACGGTCAGCCATATCAAGCGACTGAGCTTCTTCTAAGCAACGATAGGCTTCCACCATATCACCGGCATGCTGCAAAATTATAAATAATTCCGTCAACCATATCAGAGAAACAATTCAGAATTTAATTACTCGGCGCTGCTTTAGTTTTATTTTCACTTAACTAAGTTAACTAAGTTAACTTCAACGGCGGTGTATCTGAAGGTTAATATAATATAATATTTTGGCAGAAAATGCTTCTCCCCTCTTCCTCTTTCGCTTTGGAGTAGCTTTTTCAAAATGCTTTAAGAAATTTTTTTGACCGGTGATCATTTCATCTTCCGGATTTTCTCAAACTTGAGAAAATTTTTTAAATGGGATGAATACATTTTTGTCAGGTTCCATAGCAGTGTTTGAAATGGTAGAATGTTTTAGAATTTTCTCCAGGAGTAACATAATACAAAGGAGTTCGTTCGGCTGTCATGAATCTTGAGAGCAGCAAAAATCTGGCTCTGCCTCCAAGTAGAGCATACAACAGAAACGTAAGTCATGAGCATTCAATCGAAGTTGAGGAGGTTAAAAACAAAAGTAGGCAATGGTGTGTAGACTTTTCTGGCAATTGTAAAAAAAAAAAAAAGAATTGATCTGGTAATTCTGGGGTTCTGCGCTTCCAATGTAGAAAAATAGTTATCGGCAACATTTACCAACAGCTTAAGCTTACTTAAGTGGCTTTTTTTTTTACCGACTACGCATTTTCCGAAAACCAAACTTTCAAAAAGGTTCCGAGGAATTCCCACATACAAAAATCCCATTAAAACAAAAATATTGTTTATCACCAAATTGTGAAAGTTTGTCTCCGGGATTTCCTTCAAAAAATTTTGAAAGTTTCGGATTAACTTTCTCAAAGGATACAGAAAAATGTAGCCTTCGTTTGGAGCTTAAATCTTCGCATTCATCCTGAATATAAACTGTTTTTTTTTTCTAAAGATCTTCTCAGTTCAACTTTGACTCTTGAAGTGAGAAGCGTGTCACATTCTGCTTGAGCTTTATTTATTTTACTTGCTATATTATTAAGCTGACAAATTTTTATAAATTTATTAACTCTTCAGTTGAGATAAGCTACTACTGTAATTTTCTCTCCACCGGGATTTTCTCCTGCACTCAACATGAAATACTCGGTGAGTTACGTTTTGTAATTGAACATTGAAAACTCGAACCCACTTCCCCACGTCGAATTTTTTCCGAATCCCTATCCAAATTCCCTTGGAACCATTGGATTAAAAACCTCCCCAACTATAATTTCCAGGTGCCTTTTCGATATTATTTTCCTGTATTGGCAAGGGAAAGAGAAAAGCGATAAAAATGTGACTTGATGCTTTCCAAAAGGAAGTGAAAGATAACTTGGGGAAAATGACCCCTTGTCTCCAACGTCAGTATCCTCTCAATTCATTCGAAAATTCATTTCAATCATCGCCAAAGGTCCAGAATATCATCAATTACTATGTCCTGAAAATTCTTCTTTCTTTCCGCCACAAAAATGCTTGTTTCCGAGACTCAAATGCTATCGCTGGTCCCTCAAAATTCCATTTGAAGAAGTGACGTAGTTATTTACAGCAATATTTGAAATCCATTTCGTCAATATGGCAGTAAATCGAATGGCATAATTTCAGCAGAATTCAACAATGAAGCGACAGCCAATCTTAATTCAGAAGAAACTCCTGCGAAAAATTGAGGCATTCCATAAAAGAATAAATAATTAATTAGAGCTTTTTCAAGGCTAGACTAATAATGATAAATTTTGATTAATATAGTATTCCCACGCTCTTTTAGCTAGGCAACGCTTTGGGTCATGGAAATACCGATTACAAACCTTATAAATTTTGCCCTTCAAGACATGAAGTTCAATAAGTGTCGGTGTGTGTTCCAACGCCCAGTTAATATATTGCATAGCCTTCTCGATATCACCCAAATGGTCGTAGTGTTGCGACAGGTAGAAATATGCCCACAGGATTGTTGTTGCCGGTTCTCGCGCACTGCCCTCACCGTCGTACGAATCGTGTGTCTTGAGTGAAACACAGTACCTCAACACGAGGTTCTCAATGATTTTAACCTTCTCCGCATCCTTGTATAGAGGCCTCAAATCGAGGAAGAGCGGGGGAACACCTTTTGTCAATGCCCTCTTCAGGTACTCGCTCACTAGCTTCTCAAATGTTGCTCCTGGAAAAAAAAACACATGGATTCGAGAAACATTTCCAGAAACACGAACGAAGCCAAAGGTTCATTACACCTCGCGACAAAAGAACCAAATGCCCAGAATTTTTTAGAAATACGCAACGTCAAACTAACCAACCCGCAGAAAGTTTCATAAATAAATTATGCGATTCTTTTGGCAATGAAATTTCGAACATGCAAATAATGTAGTGTATATCATCACGCAATTACTGTACATTGCCTCTAAAGTGAGGCATGGCCCTTTCAAAAGGTGCATGTAACCCAGTAATCACGAAGCGTGAATTCATGTTTAATTTCTGTACAAAAGAAATTACTTGGATAATTCCATAAAAAACTCAATGCAAGAATTGACATGCATGGTTCATCGTCGACAAAACAAGAATTTTTGAGGGATTTTTTAAAGCAAAATTTCATATATTCAATTTCGAAGTAGATGAAGCATCGACATATATTTACTTCAAGTCAAGCGCCAATAAAATCACCAGATCCGAAATAACTCCTATCAGAGCTAATTAAGAACAGAAGTACTGTACTAATAATGACAAAATTTTTGGATAAATGTAGGAAAAACCAAAATCTTTCGTTTTCGATTAATTTACGAACTTCGTACTAAAATCTTCAGCGTCACTTGGGTCAAATTATAATATTAAACCAAAAATTATTCGTTCCCGGATTCTATTGACAAATTTCCGAACCAAACCTCAATTGAAGTGTTTTCCGCACAGAAGGTTTTTCGCTTTCAATAGTAAATATGAACTAATGAACTAAAACAAATTAATCTCGACATTGAAAAAAATTCCTTCAGATAATAAATGCATGAAAATTCAATATTTAAAAAAATAACAAGATTTTGACTTCTGTTTAAGAACATACCGGACGTAAAATCAAGAGGCAAACGTTTCGGAGGCAAAGCCCGTCCGAACTTCTTTTGCTCCAGCTCATAAAACTTCAAACGTGTCGCAACATCTTCCAGTCCCAAAGATGATTCCAACTTCCTGTAGTATTCCTTGTTGTCGGGATTTCGGCTGAGCAGCTTTCGAAAGACTTCTTCCGCGGCACCCTTTCTACTAAGCTGCATGTACAAGGAGCCTGCAAGCAAGAGAATTACATTTACCCAAACAAAATTTTCACCACACCTTAAACAATCGATTACAATACCTTTCGTTTCCATGATAGATTGTTGATCACAAATTCCGCTCTCGTGTTTTTCCAAGTGAGCCAAAGCAGCGGTCGTTTTTCCTGACTCGGCGAGGATCATGTTTTGATAAAGTAAAAGTTCGCTATACTCGTAGTCATATTCCGTTTTCACCTACACAACGCGCACTAATTGCATTACTCAGACCTCATATTGTAATTCATAACAGGGACCTCACCGTTTGAGTTTTTCGAAATTCTTCGAGAATTTCGAAAGCGATTTCAAATTCTCCCAGCAAGTGATGCGACATAGCGTAACCAATCCATGATGCTCGTTGATTTGGACGAAGCATCAAAAGCTGGTACCTAGTGTCCTTTTGAGTGAATTGTCGAAATGACCATTCAAGAGAACCGAAAAAGCAAAAATAACGAACTGGTCCAGTAAAAGTATGGTAAAGTATCAGCAAATCGTTTTCTGATCTTTGAAAGACAACAACCGGAGCACGAAATGCTCAAAGGTGCGTCAGCGCAAAAACCAGAGGCAGTGATTTTGGGAACAGCATCTCAGAACAATGTTCAACACGTAATTAACAAACTTAAGACAGCGAAACTCACCCGGTAACCTTCGAGATCTCTCATCTGTATTTGCAGAAGTGACAGATCTCTCAAAATTTGAATATTTTCTTTGTCGTGTTTCAAGGCGTTACGATAACATTTGATTGCTTCGTCATACTTCTTGTCTGACCGTTGAAGCAATCCGTAAACGTGCCAACAAACGTGGGACCGCAGATCATTTCTGAGTCCCCGGCGAACGAGATCATATGCTTCTTCTTTCCGGCCTAAGCAATTCAACGTTAGCCCCTTCATCGCCAACGTTTCTGAAATAGAAGGAAATAATTCGGAATCAATTCTCTATACACTACGCACAAGCAATATTTAACGTACCTCCGTGCTCGGCAAACTTCGCATTCGACAGGATTTGCTTGGCAAATTTCAGCCCATTCTTGTACTGCTTGTACTCGTAACATTTCTGAAACGGAAGAAAATACTCTTGACTGAAGAAAAAGTCTGAAAATTCTAAAATTCCTTACATACCAGGATTCGCTTGAATAAAGCGTTTTCCTTCGGAGGAAGGGGATTGCTCGATGGCATTTTCTCCTCTTACACGAGCAAAACGCGAAGAATACGGGAAACTTGATCAATTCAATATTGAAGTTCACAAATTAGCAGAATTGCTAAAGTCACGAAAATTTTATGACATTTCAAAAGTATACTCTGCTGCAAAGATAACACAAATCAGACATATTCTGCAGCAAAAACGTCACAAATAACGAGAGCCACGTGAACGTTATTACCAATGCATAAGGTCTTAATTCGTTTGCACGCGGTGATCACTGAAAACACTTCGGCTCAAAACAGTCTGAAGCATAACCATTGATGCAATCTCATTTCTCAGACCATAGAGCAGAAGAGTGCGCGAAAAATACTGTATCTTCACTATTCACATAATAAGTCAGGAATTCTGAAATCTCCACTCTAGGCACTGGAAATTCGGCTTCCGTCCATCGCATGTAATATCCGTCCGGTGCCAGGCGTAGCCTATCCGGCTTCAGACGCATTCCGACGGATAAGTACGTACAGTTAATAGCAAGATGCAAAGAGCTCGTATCACACAGGGTTTTCCTACGAGTGCATCATTGAGCCAGTGCAGTAAATGTTTGGCATGATCACCTACTCATATCAATAAAATTCGTTTTCCAGATTTTGACCAAGCATTATGAGCTAGACATTCATTATTTAAGCGTAACCGTACACAGAGTTAGCCGTTGGGACTGAGGTGCAGTCCAATAAAATGCTTGTGAAGTTCACAAATACTGCCATACAAATTCGGTGATACTGTATCTTTGGTATGCTTAATATCATCCAGAATTCTAGATCTAGACCATGACTAAAGAAAAATTTGATGCGTGAATAATTAACCAACGACGAATAAACAACCTAAATTGATGATGATGCTCTCACTCCCCTGTTTTTCTGGCCTTGTAATGCTGGTAGCTGGCGCCAGGGTTCAGAATATACTATAGTCCAATATTCCCAACCATTTTGGGCCTGCCAATCAGCAAATTTCCATGCACTTCTTTTTTGGACCAGCAAATTTTCAAAAAAAATTTCTGCAGACCAGGAAAATTTTTTTTTAATTGTTGCACACTCAAAAAAGTTTTGCCCGGAATACTTCATGGCAGTTGACAAATAAGTGTCTGTGCTTCTTTGCAAAAAAGCAAGTTAAGAACCAATATATGAAGCAGTTATAGTGGAAATGTATTAAAAAACTTAGAAATGTGGGCTTGGAGAAAATGTCCTTAGTGTGAGCATTAAAATAATTCATTTTTTCTGCAGTGTTATTCGTATAGAAATGACAACTTTGATTTTTCATGATAAATCTCAACTGCAATTGCCTTGGAAAAATTGCAGACAGAGATACTGAAATATCCTTCATTGTTTTGACATAATTTATTATGCTTGAGAAAATTTTCCGCGGACCGGCCAAAAACATTTGCGGACCGACCCCAGTCCGCAGACCTCCGATTGAGGAACACTGCTGTAGTCCATCTACCATCCTGTTCCTTGTTTCGCAAGCGTATTGTAGGTGTCACTAAGCGTCACATACTGAAGGAATACTGTACTCCAGAAAATTTGTTTAGCTTGTAGGGTTTTTGCTCAAATATTTTCACCGCTCAATAATTTGAATGGTAATCTCTACTGCGGGTCGGGATTTCAGACTAGGTTCTCATAATTTTTTGAAGGAAACACGCGCAGTAACATCATCCCTGCATTTCATCATTCACAGGTGAAAGCGAAACAAGTGAAGTGCATGAAAATTCGGCTCAACCAACAGAACATGGTTCACATCACTCACACGGAATAACAAGAAAGTAGAATTTCAACAAAAAGCTTCAATGTAATTAATGAAAAAATTAATAGGTAAAGCCCGAATATTAGTTGAACACGTACACTTAGCAGTTGTACTCAGCTTTAGGTGGTCTACAGTAGAACGTGAAAAGGCTACCCTTATTTTTTGTTTCGAGGGCAAAGAATGTAGAAGCGTTGAGGCCTTAAGACGTCTCGGAATTGTTTCCCGCTTGTTCAATCCACGTATGCAAAACCTCCTCAAACGAACAGATTTTCACACGAAACGCCGATTTTGTTTCAACAAGACGAGTCAATTCCGAAGAATTCTCACAAAAATATATATTTCTATCCATTAAGAGAGTGCGAATGAATCAATTTCAAGCGGTTTGGACACCCACGACGAAAATCCTCCAGTCTCCAGAGATGAATTTGCGGCCTTCTTGGCTTCCTGCATATTGAAAAGAACGGTAACGTTATTCATTTACTACGTACATCAATTTTAAAATATTTCATCCACACCTGGTAATCAGTAGCTGCTGCTTTGGCGTCAGCATAAAGGTTTTCCTGCTTCTTCACCCCCGTCGCAGCGATCGACAACGCAATCCATTGTGCAAATATAGAAGATTTGCAAAGCCGGGAGATGGATTGCTTCCCTCCACCAGCTTCAGATAAAGTTTTTCCATTCACACCATTCAGGATTTCCATCTTGTCACAGCCTGAAGAAGTTCATCATGAAATTGAAATAGCTTACAAATTTTTTCCTCTAATCGCCATTTCTTCATGCAATGTACTGCCTCATTATTCTTAAAATCTAGCTCAAGACTTTCCAAACTTTCCGCGGATTGCTAATAACCGGCCATGTCCTTAGGAAAGAATTTCGCGCAGGTATGAATATTGTACTACAGTAGTACCATCGAATCAATACTAATGCAGAACTGTACAGCAAATCTACATTTAATGACAATTACAATCTTCAAAATCTAAAAATTCCACGATTTCACTGAATCTCAAACAGTAAAAGCATACGTTCAGGCAATGGCAGGTGCAAGGCGAGTTTCACGCACATTTCTACAAGAGTTTTAGAATTGAATCCGCCATTACGAAAAATCAACCCAATAAAATGATAATCCGTTTGTAATTCATGCTCCTAAATTCAATGCATTTTGTTTCAATTGAATTATTTAAAAAATATGAAACTAAGGTCAAGATAGATTTCAAGATTTTCCCCCGACGATTCGTACAAGAGGCAATACTGTACGTTCAGCAGACCTTATTAACATAATTTTAATTTCTTTTCCAGTATCACCATCCACTTTTCTGAAGTTTTTTTTTTTCAATAATGAAGTCTTCCCAAAATATATTGAATTGATTCAAAATTGGTATAAGAAATACGTGTTTTGAAGCTGTGCGCGATCTACGAACAGATAACCAAGTCAGGATATCCTTACCGCTGAACCAGTTTATGCTTTGGTTCACTGATTTGGCAACATTCCTTGTATCAAGTGATGAAGACGTTCCTATCTCCGGCTCATTCATCGACTAACCAGACGTGAGAACTCCGAGACACTTCTTAACGCGATCTACGAATGCCCTGATAAAAGCATGCTTTTGAGTTTAGCGATGGTCATCCAGAGAAAGAAACATTATTCTCACCTCCTCATGTGGACTGGGTTGAACACACTTCCAAATATAATTGTGGAAAGATAAATTGGCATATCTAGTAATCTTGACAATAACGCTCCTTGAAAACCGGTTACGTTCCATCGGCAGACTTTGTCCGAACACGACATCGTTAACAGAGGACTTCCCTAATGAGAGAAACAATCCGAAAGCTGCTAAATCTGCACGGATTCTCCAGCAAAATGAAAACCTTCCAATCGGTTACGTTCCATCGGCAGACTTTGTCCGAACACGACATCGGCAACAGAGGACTTCCCTAATGAGAGAAACAATCCGAAAGCTGCTAAATCTGCACGGATTCTCCAGCAAAATGAAAACCTTCCAACAGAACAGGACTGTACTGAGAATTCTGTTCTTTTCACCTCCTACCTGGAATCTCGGACAGATGTCGTCTGAATCCGAATTTTCTTTGACCCATTAATAAATAATTTTGAAAAAAACGATTTTCGAGACGACGGGGGGTTTTTTTTTGTTGAGCGGGAAAGTGGAGAGTCATTAGTATGACAAAATATCATCCAAACTTATGAGCTGAAATCACGAGCTCAGAATACCAAAAACGACGAACAGTATGATCGTAAAGAAAATCACATGATGGGTGCGGTTGAGTACGGTAGCTGAAGCCATAATCGCCAAACTAGAGTTGGGACGAAGCCTTCTTCCTCCAAATTCTACTTACCCCAACTATGGCATCGAAGGTCTGCTGGGAATTGCCTTGAACGGGAATGGTTCCTTCGCCGGATTCGATTTTTGTCCGCAGAACGCCAGCATTTCGGACCTTACTTGCAGGGCAGAAATTTCCAACAGTTTCTTGAAGACAATAGATCCTGCGACCGGGACGATCAGTTTAATATTGTACAAATAAATGCATATTCAACATCTATGTTATTATCATTGGTACTATGATTTCTACGCGCAAAAGGCAGGCAAAATACGCCGACGGCATACAACAATTGAATTCCCATTGCATACTCTTTTGACCTTGAAAACAGCGAAATTTTGTTTAATTAACTCACCTGGCATCCCCACAGGTTGCAGAGGACACGAAGAGATGAAAGTGTATTCCTGGGTGTAATTGGAAACGACCGTCCGGAAGATGAGTGAATATCGACTCCCTCAAATCTGAAAACATGGGAGGGTATATAGTATGCAAAAATACTTTACAGAGCACCCTTTCCAATTTTACGCATGTCAGGTACTGTATTTTCAGAGACAGGTTTATAATACAGTTGACCCTCGATATTCAAAATTTTTCAAGTCCCTGTCTGAATTCTCTGAAAAAAATACCATAAAACCTCTCTCTGATCAAGGCTTTCCCTCTCAACCCTCCATGAATCGAATTTTCTGGAAACCTTTTGTTCATTATTTTATTGACACAGGAAAGAGAGAAGCAATAAGAATTTAACGACGTGTTTCGAAAGGAAGTGAGACTAATTTGGCAAATGAACCATTGCCTCCAATTTCAGCACTTCGTCAACTCGTTCAAAAAGCATTTGTACCCCCAGCATACAACCAATTGCGATTTCGTGCATTTATTCTCTCTTTTTCCAACAAAACAGCTCGTTTTTCCAGCTCAAATATTTTTGCTGGTCCCCTTTAGTTTGACTGTAACCCATACCGAACAAGGCACTTACCCAAGGAAGCTTTCATTTGTTCGATGAAAAAAAGCCGAACGCCTCTTTTTGCGATTATTTTGGCGTGACAGTCCTGTACGGAATTCCCATCAATGCTGAGCTCACCACCAGAAATGCACTTCGTTCCCGTCGCAACAGCAATGACTCTCGCAGTGGCTGGATTCAGGTTTTCGGTCATGACAAAACCAGCCAATATTTTCTTTTTGGACGCGATTTCGTTCCCAGTCGTCAGCTCCACAAATTTATCTCTTACACACCTTCATGATTAAAACGACATCGCTCTCGTTTTTCGGGGAAATGAAATCAATTCCACGATTACTGAACTATTGTGTCGGACATTAACAGAGAACACATGCGAGTATCGGAGAAGTTTTCAGTGAATGTCAGCATATCAATGTCGTCCGACGAGAAATCAATTGTACTATCCATGTTCCGCGGGTTTGTTAAGAAACAATCCCCCGTTGTCGGAGATATCCTGATCTCAGGGTGAAAAGCACAAGATGCTACACGGGAAGCTGCAGCTTTAGCGGCCTTCTTATTCACACCTGTAAAAAATTAATCGTGGATCAGTATTCAACCGGAGTATTTTCCCTGCTTTTTCCTATAGAATAAATATTTGCAATGTTTGTTAAGATACTGATCTTTGAGAGAGGCAGCATTTTTCATTCGTTTGCACTTCACTATTCAAGACATACAGCACTTCATCATATTGCAATACACACAAATGTTGAGCAAGTATTGAAAAATTCTCGTAATAAAAGAAAAACGCCGGGAAATCCAATGTAATTTTGCAATACAAATTTAACCGGAAACCTGATCATCTTCAACACCGCAGGCGTATTTTTTTTAAAGCAATTTTTAATGAGCACACAAGAGTGAACCAGAAGCAGATACATAGAAGGGACAGCTCACTGGAAAAATTGAAATGTATCGCAGGAGTAAACATTTGTTATAACAGCAAATCTTTCGCGCAAATATTTTCAGAAGCGTAGGGATTTATTCTTCCAGTTCCTAGATGAGTTGCTACTGGGTTTCTTCTTGTTGCACTGGATTGGTCACCAAGTTGATACTCCATCTACGTACAGACTGTGGAAAGTTGGTGATGGGAAAAGATGTCGGTCGTTGAGGGTTTCCTTTGTGGTCCCTGGACTTGCGCCACTGTCTCTTGCTGCATGTCCTAAAATCATTTCAATTTTCAGGACAGTATCCGAGTCGTTTCATCCTTCAAGAGTTTCCTGCAAGTGAAGCTTGTTCTGGAATTGCACCACTAACAATTTTTAATCGTCTGCTTCCCTTGCTTCAAGGCCACAAACCACTCCATTCCACCTCTTTCTGAATAAACTCCCCAGACAGGATTGGCCCTGTTATAATTTTTCCGTCCGGATAAAACCTTGAACTTCCTGAAGCGTCCAAGTTAGTGCTTGCTTGACACAGTAAGGCATCCGCCTCACGTAGAAGAGCACCCTCTGGTGGGAAGAGGAGGCAACGGCGTCCAGCTCACCCATGCAGGAAGGCGCGCGTTATGTTGAGATCTGGAGGAGCATGGGATGGGGAGGCTGGAGGATGAGAGGACCAGCACTTCACTCTTGACTCTCCACTTGAACACATAAGAGCCGCCAATCACTGTTGGCAATGCCACACAAGATAAGAACAACAACAGCCCATGGAAAAACACGCCCCAACAAAAACAGCAATAACACCAAGCTAAAGTGCCAAGCTTCTGGAGAGGTCATCCAACTCAAGGCCCCCCAACCAAGGACACAGGAAGGAGCACCGTTGAACAACCTTGAGGGGGGAAGAAGACAAAGACCATTGACCTGATATAAAAAGGAGGAACCTAGAGTACATGATTCACTCTAAAACCAAAACTGGTATCAGAACACTCACTCTGTCTGTACTTACCTTATTTGTGTATGTGAACTTGTCCATTGTCAAAGAAAATACATCTGTGTACTTGTGAAAACTCTGTCTCATCCACTCAACAACCTTACTGGGGGGCTTGTCCAATCCAAACTGTCTTCTCCATTGCCGCTGTCCAAAACTTCTTCTGCCGCAGACTCCACACTCCTGATCAGCATGCCTCAAGACACCAAGAACTCCAGGGCCACCAAAATCCAAGTCCTCCAGCACCAAGCCAGCCTGTGGGCGGCACAGTCAGAAGGGGACGCCTCAGCCAACATCTCTGTCATGATGGACCCTGATGCCACTTTACTGCTGCCAGCCAACAACACCAAATGGCAGGGCCAACCATCCAAACATCACCTCCAGACCTGCGGGATTTCCTGATGCTCCAGACGCTTTGTCAATTTGCGGAGCTATACCTAACAGAACTACCCACAACACCAGAACTACAAGCACACATTGATCTTCTCAACAAACTACAGGTCTCACTGGTAACATTGATGATGTATCAGATGTCTAACAGTCCAACAGCAACTGCCAACCAGCCTATGGCTAGGACCTGGCTCCTGCCACCTACAAGCTGCTGTGTGCACAACCAGATGGCCCCAGGCCTGCCAAAACAACTGAAGGAGGACTTTGAAGACTACACCCTGCAATTGCAGGAGCTACTTACCATAGAAAATGTTGGCAAGAATGGACGTATCCAGTGCCTTATTCACAACACCCACTATGATGTCACCAAAGCAGCTCACCAGGTATGGGCAGTGGGGTCCAACACCTTTGATGACATGGTGGAAGAGATAATGCTTCCATGTCCAATGCCATGCTTTCAGCAACTGCAGCGCATTTGACAATTCCAAGTCAATGCTAACAAAATGTACTGCAGATTTGGCAGATGGCTGCAGACAAACCTGGAACTGTTTCTGGCCATCCCGCACCACATGCTCTTGAGCAAACACCTTCAGTCATACACCTAATGCTGTGCAAACAACTCATTACAACAGAAAACCCCAAAATTGCCAAGAAACTTGTCATCAAGCTGAACAACCACCCTGACTTACCATGGGGGGAACTGCTACAATACACTGATAGACAATGCACCCTCCAGCTGGCCCAGCAGGGGGGCCTGCTCACACGCAGCAGCAGTGACAGCCAGCCCAAAGCCCAGCGCACATCCTGAGGCAGCACGGACTACTGCAATCGGCACAAAGTAGCAGGGCATACCAACACCACCTGCCACTCACTGTTCAATCACACAGAGCATCCTGTGTATCAGAAGCAGGAGAAACCTTTGACACCAGCATTGCCAGCTTTGGCTGCCAACAACAAGCCTGCAGCATGCGTCTCCTGCAACCAAACAGGACACACAACAAAAGAATGCTGCCAGGAATTGGGAAACACCCAGAGAGCACAGTAGAAGTGGTCCTCTATGCTCTACAAGCCAAGACCACTACAACCAATCCCATCCTTGTGGCTGTACACATCCAGCCCCAAACATGCAATGCCCTCATTGATACAGGGTTTCACACTCATTCATTGATGAGGCCTGGGCCACCGCATTAACACTTGACACATCAGCCAAGCAAGTATCAGTTTCAACAGTGGGACAGACAAACAACTTGTCCTCCGGGCGCAGCAACCACCAAGCTGCACATTGGCAACAAAATCTACAAAGCCAAGCTGTGGATCATCCCAAATGCAGGATTCCCCATCATCCTGGGACAAGACATGCTGGACCAGATGCCCATCATGACAGGGCTGAAGGGAAACTGTCTCTATATAGGGTACCAGGGACACTACAAACCCAATGGAGACCCAACCATGACATTTGGAGAATGCATCATCTTCATCAATGGCAGCCAACAGGAATGCCAGCTCCTGCAACTATTACTTATCAGCCACGCAGCAGCAATCCACCAATGGTCCGGCTGCCGGGGCTGCTTCCACAAGCAATTGGTGAGCCTCACAATGGCGGATTTGATGCTGCTGGTGTCCTGCCCATTTTGCCAGGCACCAAACAAACAGGGGCCCTTCACCAAAATTGTGGCAGAGTACCTGCATGCAGGACTAATCAAACCTGCTGCATCAAGGTACAATTCCCTGGCATTTTCAACACCAAAGAAATGCAGCAACATATCTGCCCCATTGTCCAAATGCTGGAGACTGGCTGAGGACTGCTGCAAGTTAAATTCCATCCTCAGTCCCAATCACTATCCTATGCCAATAATACAGGATCTGTTGGATGTGCTGAGACTGGACAATGGATATTTTTGTACAATTGACATATATGCAGCATTTCATCATCTGCCCATCATGCAACCCAATTGCCACAAAATGGCATTTTGGACAACCAAGGGCCAGATGCAGTACACAGTGCTGCCCTTTGGTTGCGCAATGGACCAGCCCTCTTCCAGCAGGCAATCAACACCATCCTCCACCAGCACATTCCACAGCAGTGTATGGCATACATAGATGACATCATTGTCTACTGCCAAATGTTTGAGGAAGTACACACAAATCTTGACAATGTCCTCTGCACACTCAACACTGCGGGGGCTGCAATTGATATCTCAAAGTCCACCTTCCTAGCAAGACAAATTGAATTTCTGGGCTACGTTGTGGGCTGCATGGGAACCAAACCAATGGAAAGAAACCTGCAGGCAGTTTGCAAATACCTGCAACCACAAACAAAAAAGGAAATGCAGAGATTTTTTGGTTTAGCAACCTCCTTGCGGGCCCATGTAACTCTGAACTTTGCTTCCACAGAAATGCACCTCTGAAAAATCATACTGCCAAAACCACAAATGAACCTATGGTGGATGGAGGAAGCTACAAAAGTGTTTAACTGCCTTAAAGAAGCCATTGCAGACGCCGCCAGCCTGGAATGCTATGATGGCACTTACCCAATCAAAGTACAGTGGGCCCCCGACTTACGACAGGCCCATGTTACGTTGGTTTCAACATACGACAGTTTTTTTTATTTAGAAAAACCCCCAACTTACGTCGGGGTTTCATGATACGACAGAAATATAATAGAAATCTTATTAGAAAATACTCCCAAAGACCTGAAAACATTTTATAACAATGAGATCCATGGTATTTTGGGCATTTGGGACTAAAATTTTGTGGGAAACAGATAACAGATGCAAGTACAATACTTCCACAACAGATGCGTGAAGAATTGCCCAAATTTTCAATTTGTTTTGATGAAATGATAAAGAAAATTAAAAAATTGAAATACTATTCTCTTATTTAAAAGATTTGATTTTTAAAATCTTCAAAAAATATACTGATTTTACTGAAGTATAAGCCAAAAATTTCTGACAAAAAGTTGATATGTAAAGGTAATTTTAGTTTGAGATTCTTTTTCTGGAACTAATTAATTTTTTTAAAATGTAACCTTAAGGGAAATAGGGTTTCAACTTATGACAGCCCTATGTTACGACGTCCATCCTGGAATGGATTGCTGACGTAAGATGGGGGCCCACTGTACATGCAGACATATCAGCAACGGGACTTGGCGCAATCCTTGTGCAAATTCACCCTGAAACAGGGCCAGCAGTAATTGATTATGCAAGCTGAGTTCTTGCCAACGCAGAAACACTCTACAGCAACTTGGAATGGGAACTCCTCACCATAGTGTGGACTATTACCAAAAAGTTCCAACTTTACGTTGAGCATTGCAAGTTTACAATTGTGACAAACCACCAGCCCCTACTTGGGGAATTGTGTACCACTTGCCTGATACAACTACAATTGAAACTGGGCTCTTATACAGGGGCAACCTACAATATTGCCCAGGGAGAACACTTCATGCACAAGATCCCCCAAGTTGCATTGTGCTCAACCAAAGCAAGATATGCAAAATACCCAACAGCCAAGAACAATTGGAAATCATCAATGCATACCATGCTGAACTCAGTAATGCACACTGGAAAAAGTTGTTATCCATCATCCAGCAGTGTTTTCACTGGCTGCACATGCGGCAGAACATATGGAAACACCTTGTTGACTGCAACACATGCTTCACCTACAATGCAAGCACCCAAACCACTGGGATGTATCTTGAACCCATCATTGCAGAGCACCCAAGGGAAAGACTCACCCTTCACTTTGACGGACTGCTGCCATGATCAGAGTGAAGTTTTTGCTACATTGCTACACCCTTGTTGCCATAGACCACTACTCCAAATTCATGATTGCCCAGCCAGTCCAACAGGCAGATGTGACAGCAGCTATCCCCATCCTTGCCAAAATATTCCAACAGGTGGGAGCATTCCAAACCATACACTCCAATCATGCAGCAGTGTTCCAGTCCTGAGCTTTTCAAAGGTTCCTGAAGGACCACAACTGCCAGCAACACCTTGCCCATGGATATCATACTGAGGACAATGGTGCCTGTGAATGCACCATACAAACGCAGGATCAAATACAGGCCAAGCAAGTCAAAGGTGACTACGCAAACGTGGACAAACACTTACCACAATCTGTCTTGGCATACAATCAAACACCCACCAATCCACAGGGGTATGCCCAGCAGGGGTCTTCTTTGACATTGCCATCCAGCTCGACACCAATTGCACCTTTGACGCACCATCCAAATGCACTGTGCACCACAAACAACACGTCCAAAAGCACAACAACAATGCATGCAAACATTTGCAGACTGGGCCAACAAATGCAAGTGGCCCCACTTTGCCCCAAGCAACATGGTGACCATCCAACCATGCATCCTGACCACAATGCAACAAGCTGCATGCCACCACTTTTGTAAGCAATGGTTTGGGCCCTTCATGGTAATTACCTTTCAGGGCCAAGGCATATACTGCATTTGAGCATGTAATCTTGTCTACAACACAAACGCTTGGGAAATGCAGCTGTGGTCCCACCAACTGGGGCCACCACACAACTGTTTTGAAACCTCTTCAAGATGCAGGAAAAACAGACACCACCAGCAAAGACACAGGACACCCCAGATCACGCATATGCTGCATGCAAAACAAACAACTGCATGCACTCCTACTGCCAAGCAGTACACTGCAGGACATCCAGACCATGCCTGATGCAATTGCCAGCACCAACATCTGACTTAAATACCACATGCAATAACAGGTCAGTTGCTCTTCTTTCAGGGGGTGGGAGAGTAAGCGCCGCCAATAACTATTGGCAATGCCACACAAGATAAGAACAACAACAATGGCCCATGGAAAAACATGCCCTGACAAAAACAGCAATAACACCAAGCTGAAGTGCCAAGCTTCTGGAGGGGTCATCCAACATGGAGTCCATGTTTGAAATGCGTCTCGTAAAAAATAAAGCAGTACCTCATACGACGAGCATAGGAGGGATTACACATTTCCGCAGGGTCCCATTTCATGTTGAACTCCTGGTCAGTTTGGATCTTTCCCCCATCCTTCCTACATAACTGGAGGCTTCTTTTTTTCTAATTTTCCTCCAGGATGGAAGGGCACAGGAGCAGTCCAAGTGATGTCTTACCGGTTTCCCGCAGCGTTTGCGCGGCCTTGACTGTGAGAGGGTTTGGAACTGTCATTTGCTAATACCTTCAACGAGGAAAATTGTCTGACCAAACGGGTTATAGCAAATGGCTTTCTTCAATTAAAAAATTTTTGGAAAATGACTTTTGGCAAATGATTCTTGTCCAAGACGAAGGTTGTAGCGAAGAACAACTCAAAACTCTCTCACTGTCAAGGTCGCGCAAAAACGGCGGGTAAACTGTTACCGCATCAATTTTATGGCGGCTATGCCCTTCCATCTAGCAAAAAATTACTGACAAAAAAAGAGGAGAGAAGCCACCAATAATGTAGGAAGGAGGGAGAGCAAGTCCAAACTGACTGTAGTGACTGGGAGCTCAAGATATAATGAAGTCCCCACGGAAATCTGTAAACCCTCATACTTTGTTCAAGCACTATGTTTGTTGCACAATCTGTTAATCATACAAATGTAGTTTATGAAAAGGGATCAAGAAAGATGAGAAATTGAACCACAAACATTTGTTCTACAGGGTGCAAAAGCTTGTATTACAAGGTACCACACTGTATTTAAAAAAAATTAACTTAGCATTCAGAATCCATTGTATTTATAATTTTGTGTTTTGTCATCTTACACTTCCACTTTGTGCTTCAATCATACATTCCGCTAGGACGAGTTTAATCCTAATTTTGAGAACTAAAACCAAAAATTGCAACTATTTCAAATAATGCTATGAAATTCAAGAAAAATAGTAAAATGAGATTTAAAATGTGTTGTACCGTACATTTAAAATGAAAAAAGGTGAAGCTTTTGAAGCCTACTTGAATTAACTGGGAATCTCACCACGAAAACTGATTCCCATGCATATGATTATGCAATAGGCAAGTTGACAAGAGTAAACTACCAATTAGTTTGGCAGGTCCAGTCTGCTTTCTTGAACCAGATTCATGTTTGCCCTGCAAGGAATGAAGCCCTTCAATTCAAATAGGAAGATCTAAAGTGCAGACAAGATAAAACACTCACCTCCTCCAAAAGCCATGTCTTGTTTCAAAAACAAGCCAGCTGTTTCAGAGGTATTCTTTGTTTGGCTTGGTAAGGTACCAGATCCTTGGTGAGGTTGGTCCTCTTTCAAAAGTAAAACTGCCAGAGGAACTGGGTTTTTGTTGGCCTGGTGTGAGACCAATACCCATTTTCTGAGACCCAAATGGGAGGTCAAAGGTGGTCCCTGGATGGTTGATAGACAAGAAGAAATCACCAGGTTGCTTGTAAGATTGATCTTTCAATAGCAAGACTGCTGTTCCAAAGGAATCGGGTTGTTTGTTGGAGTTGATGTTAGACCAATACCAAATTTTCTGGAACCCAAATGGGAGGTCCCACAAGGTCCTTGGATGGTTGACAGACAAGAAGGAAGCTCCAGTACCTTTGTAAGGTTAGTGTTCTTTTAGTAGTGTGACTGCTGTTCCAGAGAAATTAGGCTGTTTGCTGGCTATGGTGTGAGACCAATAACCAATTGTCTGGAACCCCACAGGATGGTCCCAGATTGTCCTTGGATGGTTGGTATACAGGAGGAAAGCACCACTTTGTTGGTAAGGTTGATCTTTCAATAGCAAGACTGCTGTTCCAATGAAACTAGGTAGTTTGTTGGTGTTGGTGTGAGACCAATAACCAATTTTTGGTAACCCAAATGAGAGGTCCCAGGTGGTCCTTGGATGGTTTGTAGACTGGAAGAAAGCACCTGTTTGTTGGTAAGATTGATATTTTAATAGCAAGACTGCTGTTCCAAAGGAATTGGGTTGTTTGTTGGTGTTGGTGTGAGACCAATAATCAATTTTTGGTAACCCAAATGGGAGGTCCCAGGTGGTCCTTGAATGGTTGGTAGACAGGCAGAAAGCACCTGTTTTTTGGTACGGTTGATCTTTCAATAGCAAGACTGCTGTTCCAATGAAATTAGGTTGTTTGTTGGTGTGAGACCAATAACCAGTTTTCTGGAACCCCACTGGGAGGTCCCACATTGTCCTTGGATGGTTGGTATACAGGAGGAAAGCACTGCTTTGTTGGTAAGGTTGATATTTTAATAACAAGAATGCTGTTCCAAAGGAACTAGTTAGTTTGTTGGCATTGGTGTGAGACCAATAACCAATTTTTGGTAACCCAAATGGGAGGTCCCAGGTTGGATGGTTTGTAGACTGGAAGAAAGCACCAGTTTGTTGGTAAGGTTGATAATTTAATAGCAAGACTGCTACTCCAATGAATTTAGGTTGGTTGTTGGAATTTAGGTTGTTGTTGGTGCAAGACCAATAACCAATTTTCTGGAACCCCACTGGGAGGTCCAGTACCTTTGCAATGTTAGTGTTCTTTCAATAGTAAGACTGCTGTTCCAGAGGAATTGTGCTGTTTGCTTGCTTTGGTGTGAAACCAATACCCAATTTTCTGGAACCCCACTGGGAGGTTCCAGGTTGTCCTCTGATGGTTGGTATACAAGAGGGAAGCACCACTTTGTTGGTGAGGTTGATCTTTTAATAACAAGAATGTTGTTCCAAAGGAACTAGGTAGTTTTTTTTGGCTTTGGTGTGAAACCAATACCCAATTTTCTGGAACCCCACTGGGAGGTTCCAGGTTGTCCTCTGATGGTTGGTATACAAGAGGAAAGCACCACTTTGTTGGTGAGGTTGATCTTTTAATAACAAGAATGCTGTTCCAAAGGAACTAGGTAGTTTGTTGGTGTTGGTGTGAGACCAATACTCAATTTTCTGGAACTTGAATGGGAGGTCCCAGGAGGTCCTTGGATGGTTGGTAGACAGGAAGAAAGCACTAGTTTGTTGGTAAGACTGATCTTTTAATAGCAAGACAGCTGTTCCAAAGGAATTGTGTTAAGACAGCTGCTCCATAAGAATTTAAGGATTCGTTTTGGAGTAAGACCAAGAAGTAATTTTCTGGATTCTTACTGGGAGGTTCCAAGTTGTCCTTGGATGGAATTTAAATTAGTGGAAAGCACCAGTTTCATATTAAGGGTCTTGTTTTAATAGCAAGACTGCTGTTCCGGAGTAATGGTTTTGTTTTTTTCTGTGAGACTGAAGGAGCACTGATCATCCAGATTAAACAAAAGTACTTTTTTTTAACCCAACTCGGAGGTTTCACGTTATTCTTCTTGGGATGGTAGAACAGGGGGAAATCCCCACTTCCTTTTCAAGGTTGGTCTTGTTTCAAGAGCAAAATTGCTGTTTCAGATGCATTTGGTTGGTTGTTTTGAGTGAGACCAAAAGAAACCTTCTCACACGTTTATATTAAATTAGCTCATCATAACTGTGGTACGAAACCTGTCGAGAAGTGAATATTCGTTGCATTTGTGTGTTGATCCAGAGACACCTCGCTATATTTGATACGCAAATAATAGTGAGTTATCACCGCATCAACTGTATTCTTTTCAACGCATCGTTTGAAAATTCATTCGTTCTCAAAATTGAAAAGATTGCCAGAAATTCAAGAAGTCTTTCAATTAACAAAGGAACAAGGCTCAGAATTTTCTAAATTCAATGAATTTTTTGTGATAATTGTATTTTATCTGATGTCTGTTTTCTTAAAGTCCGTCGTTGGAAAAACTCATACAATGGAAAAAAAATTTCACTCTGTTTTCTGTAGAAAATTACTGTATAGACAGTGCTCAATACTTTCAATAAACAAAAAACAGTTCTTTTTTGTTTTTTTGCAGAAATCAAAAACGTAAAAAAAAAAAAAAACTCAGGAGTGGGGCACCCACAAAAAATGTTCGGGGAAGAACGCGGCGGATCTGCCCACAGCAATATACTCACCACTTCCAGCGAATGTCATGGAACCAATCGTTAAGGTGCACGTGAATTGTCCGGATGAATTCATATGGGTTGATGATAGAAAATTTGTGTCTTGCGGATACAGAAGACAAATCAACGTAGTTGGATAGCAGGGCATCGGAATCGTTTTCAGTCTGGAATTTGCATCCAACTTCTTGGATCCTGAACGAACTGCAGCACTTCCTTCTGGCACTAGAATGGTCTTCTTTAGTTCCGGCAGATCTTCTGCCTCACTTTTCTCCAACGGTGGCATGGAATCAAGAACCATTCGAGCGACTTCGTTCTTGGGAATTTTTTTGTTCAAACCTGCGGAAATAAGAAAAGAAAGCGGTCGACAACATTATTCATCAATTAAGATGAAGAGCTGTGATAGCCATAATTTAGATTTTTATAGACAAAGTTTAAAGCTGATAAACGGTTGTAAGTTGTGATCATACAGTTCTCTTTTGAACGAAACTCGGCATCTTACTCAGGTTTTAAACATTAAATCTGGAGGGTTTCAGAAAAAAATAGTAATAATGACGCCATTAAACCTGAGAAACAGACCAAGATTTACACAACTTCATCAAAAACAATAACTCATTTCGTTCAGACCTTTTCCAATGAAGTCCACGTCCTTTAGAACAGTCCTGCAAAGTTTCATTCCATCTGCCTGCTCTCCAAACTCAAATTTCAACTCTGGCATGCGCCGGTAAAGAGCATCTGCAAAACCAGTTGTCTCACTGGTATCCGATTTAACCTCTGCCTTGATAGCGAGTGGAAGTTTAGCATCTTCAGTCTTGCCTATTTGTTGCTGCTTCTTTCGAGGATGGGGTGAAGTCAATTTCAATCCTTGCGTTAGAGCCATATATGCTGCCATCTGCTTTGCTATCTTCATGGACCGACCTTGGAAAAAACAGTCGAATGAAACAGAGCATTGCTTTAGATGTAAAAAAAAATGGAAAATCATTTTTCTTTGAGACATACAAAAAGTTCTGCAGAAGTTCTGAAATACAGATTATTTTCATTGCATTCACTGAATGATGAATCATCAGATATTTTTTCTTTGTTGTGAAGAAGTCCATCAAATCCTCAAAAAAAAAGTGTAAATACTATGCTTTCTGAAATAATCTGAGCCTCTGGAAAGGTTCAATAATTTTTCAGGGACTTCAAGTCTGACAAGGCAAGAAAAGGATCTTTCAAAATCAATTTATCCTTGTAAATCTCACTGGAACTGAAATATTTTTACAGCCCATGGAAATGGGGCTGAAAGTAGATACACAGTACATTCTATTCAAGTGCTACAATCTGAAATTTCAAAAAGTTGGATTCCCTGACAACTCAGATAGCAACAACTGGAATAGCCACAATTTGCACCTCAACAACTTGCATCCTGCAATAACTGGGATAGCAATAAATTGCGCGGTGTGACAACCCACAAATTTTTCTACACTTTTTTGGCACATAATTTTCCCCGTTCATTTTTTGCAGATTGTTCCTTGTCTGGAAGATGTTTGAATGTATGCTAATCCATTAAAAGGACAGTCAGGGAGCCCTATCTGTTTCTATTCATTGCTTCAATTCACATGGAAGTGGTGTCAAGGTATTCACTTTCAAAATCCATATCCTTTTTAATTTTAGAAATCCAAGGGCTCACACCTCCCCTGAATGCCTTTCAGAGGACTGTTGTCCTATTTCTGTAAGAATTTTATCTTAAGACACTTTTGATCTGAAGAAAACGTCTTTTCCACAGAATCAATTAGTCTAGAGATTGCAAATCCTCTAAGACAATCTTTCAACAAGAAGATTTTGTTCTTATGGCTGGGGTTTGTAAGTAAAACACAACTTCTCGGTTTAGAGTGGATACGTATATATTTCTGGTTTACCTCAGTCAACGCCAAGCTCACGAATGAATGTTAGTTCAATGCACGCAAGTACCCTTTATAGATTCAACACTTTCCAGACGCGACTGCGCAAGCAGGATGCAACCATATCAAAAGTAGGGCAGGTAAATGACCGCTGTCTAGACAACTGACCTTGTGCGCTTTGGAGCAACGAGTTGCTATGCAACATCGTTTCATGATCTGCGTTTTAATGCGCACTGTATTATTGCTCTAGTACAGGACATATGATCTTGGATCACAAACTCTCCCCAGGCAAATTGAAAGAAAAGTTCCACCTTTTCAGAGCCAATTAGAAGCACTCTCAAAAAGTGTTCCCACAAGAGCAAAAAAAATCCCAAGTGAATAAAATCGATGAATTGATTGATGGCATATCTGGGCATCGATTTCCCATATGACATGTCATTGCATTGAAAAGTTCTTGGAAAATCACTCTGGGGTTCAAGTTTGAACTCACACATTTGTGTGGCACCCATGTGAGGATTCTCAGATGCAGGAGTTCACTGGGTTCATCTGGGAACAGGAATGTGGCAAAAAGTCACACTCTGGGAAGAAACAGGTATCAATACTTGTTTCTTCCTTTCCTGAGATATTCCAAAAGGATTCAGGCCTCATTCTTGGCTCTTTTCTGGTGGAGACTACATCTCAAGTTAGTCTCAGTGAAAGTTTTGATTGTGCTAATCTTAATTCCTGCCCTCTTCTCTTGGGTTTTTCTTTCCAGACAGTTTTTAGTGGCTATTGGAGGCATTTTTAGAGGCCTTTTCCCGTCCGTCGCGCGCCGTTCATATTTTTATCGAGCGCGTAATTATTTCGAAAAGTCTGACGACGTTTGGCAGTGAAGGCTTTTGAAAGCCACAAAACAACTTCAGGGGCCACAATTCGTCACAAATAAGTCAACCTATCATTCAGGAGCCAAGAACATCAACACAAAAGCAAAAATGGGACTTCTTCTGGCAGCAACATCTACAATTCTTTTGGTAAGTTTTTGAACCAAACAGTGAAAAATATGGGTTTTAAACACAGTCAATATTTTCCAGGTCTTGTTGGTGACTCATCAAGAAGGTGAGGCTAGTTCCTGTGCTGAAGTTGGAGGCAGGCTGGCCTGCTCAGATATTTGTGAAGTCAGAAGACCAGCTCTCCATAAGTTTCAAGTGGACTTTGTTGGGGACTCCTTGGACTTGGACTGCATCAGGTATAAAGGTCTCAAGGTGAGTACTTCCTGGAAGTGAAAAGATAAACATGTATTTGAACTTTTTCTTGTAACTTTTCAGGAAGTCAGGTTGTTCAACAGGACTTTCTGTTCAGGGAAAACTCTGGGTATGGAAGAAGTGGTGAAACCCTGGAGTCACTGTTTCTTCAAGTACACAAGTATGTTACTGAAATATTACCATTGAGCCTTTTAATTCAGTTTTCCTATTTTTCAGAGAAACAGGAAGCAGTCAAGGAGGAGCCCAAGACTTCAAGACCTGTCAAGAAATCTTCAATGCACAAGACATCATCAACAACACCACTGACCTCATTCACCACAGTGCCACTCAAGCAAGGGACTTGGACCTCCAGCACTGCAAGTCAACCTACAACCATACCTTGGGAGGAGGAAACATCTACCATCCAGGAGCAAGACAACAGTGTTTTTGCTAAGAATGATGTTGTGCCTGTTGTGGGCACTGTTGTGCCTGAAACCCAAGTAGAAAGTATTCCTGCAGAGGAGGTGGTGCCTGTAGAGGAGGCCATTCCCAAAACAACTAGGGGGACCCTGGCAGATATAGCGGAAAAGTCAAAGAATTTGTCTATTTCTCAGTTGAATATTTCTGCAGGGTTCCCTGATGGGTCCATTATTCATGAAGAGTTTCCACAATGGTTGTTGGAAGCTTTGGTTTGGATAATTGGAGTATTGGGGATTGGATCTCCTTTTGCAGTGCTAACAATCTGCTGTTGCAAGAGGATAAAACTAAAGGTGTGTAGTCTTTTGTGGTGGAAGGTTAGCCAAGTTTCTAATGGGGTTTCTGGGCCTTTTGCTGTTGCTGTGCTTTTTGTGTGCTGGGTTATAATGTTAGAGGAACTCAGAGGCAGTAAATCAGGTAGAAGAGGCTCCTCAGTCACTTCTAAATCCTTTGTTTGAGGAATTGGAGTTGGCTGAGGCCCCTTCTCTTGCTACTGTGAGGCCTTTGATGTCCTCTTTCAGTGAGTGTCTTGTCACTGCTTGCTTGTTTTGCTTGGGCTTGACCTTCTTTTGTTGTCAGGTCTGATCCAAAGCCCTGTCAGGGGAAGAGTTGCTGGCCAGGTGGACTTGGCCTCTCCTTTGTGCTTGGGTGTTGGCGAAGATCCACCCCACATTTTGACGCACTCAACCTGGTCCTGGCCAGGTTGTTTGCAGCGGAAGCCTCTCCAGTTTCTATACTGTGGGAGAGGTTTAGTTATTTTTTGCGCGCATGTATTCGACGTGATTAGAGAGTTGTTGTCGTTAGGAGGAAATTAATAAAGATATGTTACTCCTCCACTCTCTGTTTTTCTTTTTCCTTTTTGTTTTCGTTTCTTCCCACAGCACAGCAATCACAGCAACTTTTGGGCCTTCTTCATCTTCCAGTAGTCCAAGATCTTCACTCAAGGAGTAAGAATAAACAAGTATAAGACAGCAGTTGTAAAGCATAGGGTAAAGGCATGCAGCACAACCAAACTTAGCTCAAATAAAAGCATGAAAGCATAACACAAACACCACAAAGTCCGTCCTAGTTGGTATTAGTGGAGCCTTCAAAGGGATGTATTTCAGGCATAGATTATTTGATCGCCATTAACCCTGTTGAGGCACTAATTTGCAGTCTAGGATACTGAGGGGCCAAGGGGGCACTCCTGGAAGGCATTAACTCAATATTTGCACTTTCTATGATGTTTGCATTTCGTCTGCGTCTGATAACGTACCATATTTTAGCAAAACATAAGTACATGATGCTAAGCAGTATGATAGATAATAGGATTACTGACACTATCAAGTAAACTTATCCATGATCTCTAAAATGAATTTGGAGATCACTGATGTCTTCTGCTACAGAACTGCATGGTTTAAATGCTGGAATTTCTTCCACTGCCTTTATTTCCACATTTTCTAATTTGGGTAGAATTTCTTTAAAAGGTCCATTTACTAAAGTATATCTGCAATTTTGATTACATTTCAGAATACCAGAATACGGTAGTTCATAGGAATTTTCAGATGCAGGAATTGTTCCATTTTCATTCTCAGCACAATATTGGGTTATCCTTCCCTTGTCTGTGTCTATATATGCAAATTCGTCCCTATCTAGTTGTACCACCATATTTTCAGGGCTAACTATTGGTCTCATGGGACATGCCTCTCGAATGGCTTCTTTGTTTTCTCCGATCTGGATTTTCCTAACGCATTCACTGGCAGGTCTGATAGGGGCATGATTGGCTCTGCAAATTTGACAGCCTGAATGCCCTATTCTTCTAAGACACATGGGTATTTCTGTACCATATGCCGCGTAATACTGATTTCCTCTTTTAAGCAGAAATGGTTGTTTGATTTCTGCTTGCAACCACTTTGGAGATCCTAAGTAGGTTTCTCTAGCTATGGGAACTGCGTGAACCCTCGAAACATGAATTACTTTGTCTGCTGAAATTACTGGGACTATTGTAATAATCTTGAGATGACACTCTCCAGATGTGGTTGTTAGATTGGCAGAATTGAACGTTCCTACCGTTACTGGGTTTGATTTAATTATGTGGACCAAATCCGTTGCTGTTACTTTGGATTTTGCATATCTAGGTTCCACATCAAGAACTTCTTGCATTACTCCATGCACTTGACCAATGTCAAACATATGAATGGGAAAAGCAAACTCTCTAATTGCTTCAATATCCCTTGAATGGTGTCAGCTACGCTTTTCAATTGTCCCAACTCGGATCCGATAAGGAGTGTTTTCAACCAGAAGTTGATTAAAGAACGGTTGGTCAGAGTGACGTCATCTATTAGTTTGTCAAAAACTTCAGCATGACTAAAATTGGTAAACGTCAGTAGCGATGATGGCTTGAGGTATGCTCTTTTGCTATTTGATTGTAGCTTTGTTATGGGGAAAATTCCTCTCTGAACAATTGGTAACAGATTCAAATAAGGCATTTCATTCCCCGGGTCATTTACTGCAGTTTCAATTCGCATAGCCAGGTTATCTAAGGTTAAATCTAGCATACTAAGCTTATGGGCCAGCATTTTCATAGATACATTGGCTGGGCCAGGCAACTTTTGGTCATTTTCTTCCACATCTTTTTTCACGTTCTTTGCAAAGTTGTACACTCTTTTTCAAACTTTTTCTCCCATGTGATAAAACTTTCCTAAATCCACTGAGGATTCCATCGTCCAAAATGTGGTGGGAATGCACATTTTACTTAGATCTTCAATTGTTACTCCTACATTCCCTGGAAATGTTCTAATGGGAGAGATCTTATCTAATCTATTACTGTTGGACACAATCCCACAATCTTTGGCCACTTCTTCAATTAACAGACTATTGCAAATGATTATAGACTGAATGTAGAAAAATATAACCATGAGTCAAAACATGTTGACGCGGGCGCGTTTTGAGAATAACTGCGCAGTTCGTGTACTTATCTGGGTACTGAGGTTGACCTTCTGGCTGCTTCTCTGCGTGTGCGTGTAGGTAGAATGTTGTTGCTATCTATTCCACTCAACATGCGTGGCCTTACCGATTTTTTCTCCTCATTTGGTTCTGTTTCATTTCCCTTTTCTTTCTTCTCCATTTCTTTTTGTTCTGCTTCTTGTTGTTTCTTCTTAGCTTCCTTCTTTCTTTCCTTTTTCTTCTGACTTTTGGATTTTGATGCATCAGGGTTAACTGCAGCGGTCGCTCCTCTGTCTGGAGTCTGATGCAGCAGCATCTGTGACCTTCTAGGAGTACTGGATGACTCTGGTGGTGCAAGGACACTGTCGGTGACTGCTGGCAAGGTTATCTCAGGCGTTTCATTGTTGTCTGAGCCTGATCCTGGAGAGAAAAACTTTCCCAGTTCCGTAGTCAACTCGGAAAGAAAGGATTTATTAGTCTTGCTAGATTTTGGAGTAGCTATAACAGTTTTATTAATATCTTCAGTGGAAGCGAAAGATTTGTTTTTGACTTCTGCTGCTTCCAAATTAGGTGAATGGGTTGGTGTTCCATAAAACATCATATCAGGAGCAGACACATCAAAAGCAGCCGATTTATTGGTTACATCTTCTGGCTGTTTGTCCTGAATTTCTGCTTCCATTTCTTCAGTCTTGTTCTCCATTGGTGGTTGGATGGCCGTGTCATCATTTATTTTTTCAATGGGTTTTTCTTGATTGCCAGATGGAGGAGACAATCTTTTGGGTTGCGCACTGGGAAAAACCTTTTGTTTGACTTCGTCAAAATCTTCTATTTCCTCAATTTCTACGTTAGTATCTAAAGTAGTGGGATCTGCATTCCCGGTTTGGAAAGGTCGAATGTAACTAGTATGAACTACATCAGTCCAATTGCTATGTTGGTCATCTCAAATGCGCACCACAACGGGATTAACAACTTCAATAATTGTGTAGGGACCTCTATATTTGGCACTCCATTTCTTTCCCACAAAGGAGAGGGGATGTTGTTTAAGCCAAATTCTGTCTCCTACGTTGTAGGCTGTTCCCTTTTGGTGTACATTTAATCATTCTAAATATGAAGCTTGGCATTTTCTAATGGCCTTTTGGGCTGGTTCTCTTAAAGATTCAAGCTGTTCCTTTTTCACCTCATAATATTCCCTTATGCTCTGGAATTGTTCCAAGTTTTTCTGGCTAGAAAGCCAATTTCTTCTTGGTTTCATTCCCGGTACTATTTCAAAGGGAGAGGCTTGTAAAGCTTTGTGTTTTGAGCTATTATGGACCCATGCTGCAAGTTTGAGTAGTTCATCCCAGGTACTTCTATTTTCTGGATCAAGATAGAATTTGCGATGGGATCTTTCGTTTTGCCCATTACCTTGGGGTCGATAGGCTGTAGTTGTATTTGCCCGAGCTCCCAGGAAGCTAGCCATATCCCGGAACACACTACTTACAAAGTTTGTCCCGTGATCGGTTAAAATTCTTTTTGGGGCTCCAAACATACAAACCCAATTGGTCAAGAATAGTCTAGCGGTGGTCTTTGCAGAGGCGTCCTTCATTGCTGAAAAGACTATTCATCGAGACAACCAATCTTGAATTACTAGAATATATCTATTCCCCCTTTGACTGTTTGGTACAGGGCCCACCACATCAACACTGACATCTTCAAAACAATTTTTTGGAATACCTGTGCTCAGATAAGGAGTCTTGTGGGAAAAATGCTTAGTTTTTTGACACTTGGGACATGAGCGAACATATGCCGTGACATGTTTCTCAATATTTAGCCAGGTAAATTCTTCCCAGATAGCAAAAGAAGTTTTATCAATCCTGCAGTGACCCATAGATGGCGGGTCATGAAAACTGGAAATTATCTTTTCTCTCAAAGAAGGTGGGACTCAAATGCGCTGCCCGTTAGTTGTCTTTTTCATTAACAATCCTTCCTGCAGATGAAATTCTTCTCCGAAAAGAATTTTTCCTTTCAAGGAGGCAGTAGCACGTTGCAGCAAACTTCTGGAAATATATGGAATCAGGTTAGTTTTGAGCAAAACTGGAGATAAAAAGGCACACAGTTTCTTGGTTTTTTGGTCAGGAGGGAATCGGCTTAGGGCATCAGCATGAGGGATCGAAAGTCCCTTTTTATATTCAACTCGGTATTCATATTCATTGAGTTTCATAAACCAGGCAATTGCCCTTTGACTGTCACTCTGTCTCTGACGACTTAAGTAGGGGATTGCGATAAGATCTGTTTGTATTACGAAAGGATGTCCCCATAAATATGAGCGAAACTGTGAAACACCATAATATACTGCTAGTAATTCTCTGTCAGTATTAGGGTATCTCGATTCCTCATCATTAAGCGTCCGACTTGCACAGCCAATCAATACTTCCCTCTTACCTGGTTTCTGTGTGAGTATTGCTCCTACGGCAATAGCAGAGGCATTGGTAGTAAGAATAAATTCTTGGTCAAAATCGGGGAAAGAAAGTACAGGCGCCGACAATAAACATTTCTTGAGACAATCTACAGCATCCTGTTGCAGTTTTTCCCATTTAAAAGCTGTATCCTTTTTCAGAAGGATATACAGTGGTTTTGCCTTTAAAGCAAAATTCTGTATGTAGGATCGGAAGTAGCCAACAAGGCCTAGGAAGGCTTGTACTCCCTTTACGTCTACTGGTATAGGGAAATTTTGGATGGCCTCTATTTTTGTTGGATTGACTCGGATGACAGTTTCACTTATCAGGAATCCCAGGTATTCAATCTGGGTACGGAATAGTTGGCATTTGGAAAACTTTACTTTTAATCCTGCTTCATCCAGGCGCTGTAGAATATTGGTTAGGTGAGAGAAATGTTTGTCTGTGCTATGCGAGTAGATTACTATATCATCTACATAAATGTAGGCATATATTCCCAAACACCCATCTAGTACCAAATGCATGAGGCGCTGAAAGATAGAGGGACTGTTTTTGAGACCCATGGGAAGTCGGATAAATTCGTAGTGTCCCATAGGCGTAGAGAACGCTGTTTTCCACCTTTCTTCCTCACGGATTTTGATATTATAGAAGCCATGGAGAAGATCTAATGCTGTGAAAAACTTTTCGTTTCCTAATTCCTCAAAAATTTGGTTAATGCGAGGTAAGGGATGAGCATCGGTTATTACATGGTTGTTCAGACATCAGACATCTACTACCATTTGCCAACCACCGTCTTTTTTCTTCACCATTAGTGTTGGACTATTGTACGGAGATTTTGATGGACGTACTATTTCATGTTCTAACAAATCCTCTACGAATTCATTAACTTTCGGTCGCATGCTGTGAGGAAGCGGATATTGTCTGGTAAAAATTGGTTTGTTTGTGTCTAGTGGAATGTCTGCCTCATATAATGGGCATAGTCCCAAATGGTCAGATTTTTTGGCTAAGACATTCTTGAATTTTCGTAGTAACTCTCCAAGAGGATGAATTAACTGTTCAGGACACTCCAAGAGTTTGATGTTTTTGTCTATGAGTTGGATCAAATTTTTGTCTTCCAGTTTCCCATGGAGTCTCTCAAGTTTGTCTTTGTTTTGCAATTTAGAGGTCAGGACTGCTGCACTCTTTTCGTTGGGATCTACAATATCTTCAATATCTCTTACAGCTATCAAAGCTGATGCTAACGTTAACTGAGGGGAAACTTCTATGTCTTCATCCCCAATGTTTAAGCATAGGATAGGGTATGTTTCCTCTTGGTGTTTTCGAGAAATACCGCAAGCCACTATAAGAGTGCCACATAATCCATTGGAAATGTATAAAGTGCGGTTTCCGACCTTTTCTCGAGATTTTTCTGAGAGTTTTGCAAACAAAAGCTTTTGAGACTTCTTTGGTATAATATATGTTTCCACGGGGTATAATTGAAAAGACTCGTTTTCTTGAATGTGATTCAGACGAGAACATTTAACTCTTCGGCGCTGGTTGGTTTCCGTTAAAAAGGATGCCCTCATTTCATTCAAATGGACACGTTTTTCTCCGTACAGTAGTTTAGCGTGTAGGGTTTTCATTACGTCTGATCCCAAAATACCTTCAAACTCATGACCATGCATCAGAAATATAATAAACCGAGCTTGAGTTAGTAGTCTACTATCTATGTACAAAGTCACATTCAATATGCCATTGACTGGCATTTTGCAACCTTCAATGGTGGCGATGGTAATATTTGAGGCAGATGGAGATACCTCTGATTTTAATACACTAGGAGATAGTAATGAAATTTCCGAACCTGAGTCCAGTAGAAATTTTGCTGGAAAGCGGGTGGCGTCGGTAGTCAATAGGATAACCTGCAGCTTTGCAGTTGAGTTTGCTGAAGTGCCGGTTGATACTCGTTTCCCAAGTATGACAAGGCAGGTTCATTGATATATCCTTCAGGTAGAAGTTTGTCTTCTTCTTCCTCCTCATATTCTTCATTGACTCCTTTGTATTCATTGCCTTCTTCTACAAAATTCACTGCTCTTCTTCCACCTCCTCGTCTGCAACCCCTGCCGCGCGAATTTCCATGATAAGAGGAGCTGCCTCTATTGCCACTAGAGAATTTTGGCGCGCAACCATCTTTCTCAGGGGCCAGATACACAAACTTTCTCGTCACGGGTTTAGACGATGCCTTACTCTGCGCACAACACTTGCTTCGAAAGTGGCCCTTTTGACCACAATTATAACAAGTTGTCGCGGAACAAATATCAGCACCATTTCCACCAAATGCATAGGGAGGAGTTTTGGGGCGCGTATTGGAATATAATTGATGGAGGGAGGAAGAGCGGGAGGAGTCTAAATCCTTTTCTCTATCCTCTACAGAAATCGCAAATCGAAGTGCAGTCTCAAAATCGTCAAAAGTGATGCATATGGCATTGGCGATTTTGGGAATAAGACCATCCATAAAGGTTGATAAGAGGAATCCATCCAAAAAGTCCTGCTTTCCCTTATATTCCCAACATTCTTTAATATAAAATGGGTTAGGGAGAAGTGCAGCAGGCTGATTCTCTCCACCGATTACTTTAAGCTTGCCAGGGGCATTGCCCAGCAGGAAATTTCCAGCGCGTCTCACTCTAGCTCCAAAGGTCTGCACCTGCTCCCCAGGAGTCTGGCGCATCCTCTTCAGATCTTTCATAAGATTTGTCAGAACTCTCCTGCCAAACATATCCTGCAATGTTTTTACTATTACACAATAATGGGCTGATGTCAACCCTTGTATGGACGTTCAATATATTTGAGCTTCGCCTCTAAGTTTACTTAGTAAATTGGATCGGATACTTTCATCCGAATATATGCCGTCATACAGGGCACTTTGAAAAGTTGCCCACCACTCTTGCCAATTTAAGGGACCACTACCATCAAAGAACGGGATTTGATTCATCGCAATTGAGGCCTGCTGGGTATTGACACTTGGCAATCTGGATTTTTAAAGGTGTTCCACATTGTAGAACACAACTTTGTCTGCACTTGGCTCTGTAATCTGATCCAGGCTTAATTCATTTGCAACCAGAGCTTGCCTAATCCCCATTCCATCAGCGAAATTGCATTTCTTAATTTTTAATTCTTCTTTCAGCTGTTTTGAAAACAACAACAGTTGGGAGTCATTGATAGCCGTTTCATGGAGACTAATCTCCATTAGATTTGGTTCAAGGACTTCCAATATCGTTGTGACGGTCACCAATGGACCATCCTCAGCCTTGATATCATCAATATGTTTTTGAATCGCATTTTTTACTTCTTGGTTAGGGGCAGGCATTGAGTTAAGCGGGCCAGTTAATCTTTTGAGCTCTTGCTCTAATTCCTTCTTCCTCTTAGCTGCTACCTCGGCTTGTTCCTTGGAGCTCAAGTCAAGAAGTTTTCTATCCATGATAGCATTTACGTATAGAACTCGGGAGATATCTAGGGTTGAAACATTTGCGGAGGTACCAGATGCCATAGTGTCAGAAATCACTAAATACGTTCACTTTGTGTTCACTTTTCACTGGACACCATATTCAAAGGCACTTTTCGTGAGTACCTGCGGTATCTGGAGCACTTCAGTTTCTACTAATTCTTCAAAACTCTATGAGTACTCACCCTGGGTAAAAAGAAAACTTTGGCTGCGCCAAATTATGTTGTCCTATTTCCGTAAGAATTTTATCTCAAGACACTTTTGATCTGAAGAAAACGTCTTTTCCACAGAATCAATTAGTCTAGAGATTGAAAATCCTCTAAGACAATCTTTCAACAAGAAGATTTTGTTCTTATGGCCGGGGTTTGTAAGTAAAACACGACTTCTCAGTTTAGAGTGGATACGTATATATTTCTGGTTTACCTCAGTCAACGCCAAGCTCATGAATGAATGTTAGTTCAATGCACGCAAGTACCCTTTATAGATTCAACACTTTCCAGATGCGACTGCGCAAGCAGGATGCAACCATATCAAAAGTAGGGCAGGTAAATGACCGCTGTCTAGACAACTGACCTTGTGCGCTTTGGAGCAACGAGTTGCTATGCAACATCGTTTCATGATCTGCGTTTTAAAGCGCACGGTATTATTGCTCTAGTACAGGACATATGATCTTGGATCAGGACATAAAATACCCCAAAAACAAATACCAGCATCACTTCATCAGTCATACTCAGGGATATTCATAATTTGTTCTGCAAAGGCCGGAAAAAGAAGTTTCACAGAAGACACTCCAATGAATAATTAAATAAATGGTTTCATTCGGGGATGGTTTGTTGGAGAACATTTTTGCGCAATTTGACTTATAAATTTGGCCTTTGAATTTCCTTCCTTCTCCATTGTCTCGTCTAGTGCTTTTTTATTTTTACAATGAATAAAGAATTTTTGAATACATCATTTTTCTTCATCCAAATTAGTCAAAAAAGATTACTCAACCTAAGTTAGTCAAATGATGCATATCTCTGAGGATAACTGATGTTTTCATTTGTTTAGAATATTTAGATGGTATTTCATATACCAGCTATAGAAGGATTGAGGCGTGAGCCCTTGATTTCTAAAATTAATAAGAATAAGGATTTTGAAAGTGAATACCTTGACACCACATTCATGAGAATTGAAACAGTGAATAGAAAAAAGGGCTCCCTCACTGTTCTTATAAGGGATTAGCAAATATTCAAATGTCCTCCAGACAAGGAACAATCTGCCAAAATGAATGGGAAAATTACATAAAAAAAAAGTGTAAAAATATGTGTGACTTGTGAGTTGTCACACTGCGCAATTTATTGCTATCCCAGTTATTGCAGGATGCAAGGTGTTGGTGTGCGAATTGTGGCAATTCCAGTTGTTGCTATCCGAGTCGTCCCAAAAACAAAAATTTGCATTGGAGAAAAAAAATCTAGAAGAACTCACCATGTCCAAGAAATGATCCAAAACTTGGAACTGTAACCGTACACTCATATTTCTTCGAAAGTTTGCTGCCAGAGGGCATCTCACTCAGCAAAGATGTTTCGTATTTTACGTCTGGAACAGTTTGTGATAACCTTGAAAACATACACATACAAAAGGGAACGATTACAAAAAAATACATTAAAAAACCTTCGCAGGAGTTCGGCTGTGCAGCAAAAATGGTCAACATATTTACCTCGAAATACAATCAACTACTGTCTGGACGTTCGGCTTCGTAATTTCCTTCTTGCTTTCTGCGATTACCATTGTTCTTGACGCCTCCTAGCAATAAAGTAAAAAATAACGGTCTCAAATAACTGTCGAAGAAATTAGGTACTCAATCATTCAGCAGGCGAAAAGGAGTAATTTTGATCACATAAAAATGTTCTGTAATCCCTGAAAAAGAGAGAAACCCTGATATCGAGGGAATTCCGCAAAAACTCACGTCATCAAGCTGCGTATCAGCAGGTAGTGGATCTGACTCTTGCTTTAACCAGATCACCTCTGACGCAGCTTCTTCAGTTAGAACATTGCTAAGCCTCAACGCAATATCACAAGCAGCTTGGCGGGCGATTTTCTTAGACGGTGCCTTGCCAAAATAAGTTACCCCATTGATCTAAGAAGAGTTATTGGCCACAGCAAGGTTTGCTGATAGGAGTTCGAGATGGATTCAAAATGTAATTTTAGGGTCCGATTAAAGCATCATCGACATGTATATAACCATCAAAACCAAATTTTCATTTCTGCTGGTGGTGCTCCAACGTACCGAGCACCGCCGTCTGAAAAGCAATCCGCACTGATGAATCAGATTCACTTACTTTCTTTCTTTTTTTTTAAATCAAAAAGTATCTTTATCATCGTCAAAATTATGTTTTCTTTCATGTTAAACTCGGAAAAATGTAGCTGGGTTCTCAAAACTGCTCTCCTAGATGTTCTTCCGGAATTGTATCAACTGGTTTTGTCGAACTATTTTCCCGAAGTAATGGAACTGTAATTGCAAATTGAAACAATAAACGTAAACCATCTTTAGGTGGTATTGCTGACTATTGGTGCAAGACACTGCTCTAAACGTTAGCAATTGATCTAGTAATAACTGAGAAAAGGAACTAGCTACTAATACGATGCCTCATTTTTTAAATCCATCTCTTTCTCTAGCAAAATGACACGAAGCAGTTTAGTTAACCAGCCTCGAGGCCTACTTATTACAGTGCACGAAAACACGTAAAGACCATCAGCTTGTAGCTCTTTCTCTTGCAAAACTTCGGAAATCAAGCCACATTGATTTACCGTCAAGTATTCATTCAACGCCATCGCTGGCATTTTCGTTTTTGGGTGGATTTTCCGTATTTTCTTAAACCCTTCAGTCATCCATGGTGGTAACTTCCGCTTTCGAGGAATACTTTCTTTATTGATCTGGTCCACGTTTGGAATCAATTCGATAAATGGAGTACAATCCATTTTATCCTATGAATTGGATTCCTTAAACTAATCGATGGAAACACCACAAGCCGTTTATTCGTCTTACGGGTTGACAAAATGGGATTGCAAAGATTCCTGAAATGAAACACAAGCGTCATCAATAACTCGACACTCTCCTGCTACAAAGAAAACATATTTTATCACAGCAAAATGAAATCAATAACCAATCGCCACAAACTCAAACGCCGCAAATTTTCATCGCGTAAACATTGTTGTCACGACAGCCAAATACTAAAACATCATTCCACACTGCAGGAGACGAAAAGAGCATTCCGGTAAAAATATACTGGCCCAGCTTGCGACCGTCCATATCAAAAAGTGCCACAAGCCCACCAGTTCCACAAAACGCCACACAAGACACCACTTGGTCCTTTGTAGAACCCGCATCACGCGTCTTCATTGGAAACGTAATCGGAATCGCGAACACCTCTTGACCTATGTCAACAGTCCAACTATGCAACGGTGCATGTTCCAATCCTCGAGGAAAAGTGAATGATTTCCCAACTTCCCCGTGAGATCCGATCAATAGAGAAAACTTATCCGAGCCTTCCAGCTTTATGATTACCGGTGAAGAAAAGATCCGCGACGAAGGTTCTTCACTAGTTTCCCACAGAAGATTTCCATCTCGAAAATCGACACCAGCGATCACACCACTAACCGACGCACACACGGCAACGTTTCCAGCGACGGAGACCGAAGAAAAAATTGGTAAATTTCCGATGGAACGGCGCCAAAGAATCACACCATCTCTTGCTTTGAGGCCCATTATTTCTCCGCTAATCGTTGCACAAATTATAATACCATTACAGAATGCAGGTGAGGAATAAACTCTACCACCAAGAATTACTTTCCAACGAACAACACCATTACAAGCCTCCACGCAATGTAAGAATCCATCGTAGGATCCAACACAAATTCTTGTTTCACTATCCTCACAGAATGTCACAGGAGAAGATCGGACTTCACCACCGGTCTGCGTTTTGGGGGAAGCTGTCTGGAATAAACAGAACGTTTTTCTTCTGGAAATGCCATCAGACGCATTAGGTAAATAATTCATGTGAGCCTCGCCTCTACATGCTCACTGAATGTAACTCGACATGACGAGCTGATGGAAGCTCTGTTCACGGCAAAGAAGGTCAGCAGTCCTACTTCCTAATCTCTCGAGTTGACGGAAAGTTCCAGGGATCAACTTGTGCTTCACCCCCCCCCCCCCACAATAATCCCACTTCGTTATTCTTGAATCCAGCTGAAGCCATATTTTATGGGAAGTTCGTACCCCTTGAATCAGCTTGCAATGATCGTAATGGAAAGTTTTCGTAATTTCACATGGCAAGCACCATGCAAATTTTTCCGTTTTTGTAGGAGGGTTTGGGTTCCCCGGATACCCTTCGCTCATCCCGGGGAGTCAACAAGATCAACACCCATTTTGATAATGGAACCAAGCAGGTTACTTTCGTTGCACTCAACAAAAAAAAAAACCATCTCAAAACCCCCAAAAAACGCAGGACATGCTGCCAAGCAAGAATTTTCTATAACAAAGGAATGCCATGTTCCTGAATTTGTGCTCAGTAATTGTGTTATTGTGCTGTCTTTTTTTTCATTCTCAGAAAAATGTCGGCAATTCATTACTAATGCATCTGTATGCAATGTGATTTATTCAATTTTTAATCCCTATTTAGTCAATTATTTTTTATCAGGCAGAATGTGTTGAATGGTTCTTATTTGGGTGGATGTGGCCCAACATTAATCCTGCTTGCCTATGAAAATTTATGCTTTTCAATTTTCTAACAAGTCAAATGAATTTGACTTGTTTTGAGTCCCCAAAAAGCTTTCCACAATTTCAACATACTGTTTTGTTCTGTATCCCATTTTCTTGCGTTTTAGTTCCCTCAAGTACCCACAGGAACTATGCAAACCACCACCAGATCCCCAACACAAAGTTGAGTGAAACGAGTCCAGCCTCTGCCTCTTTCTGCATTAAGCATCATGAGGTAGCAGGATCTCCAGAGACGCCAAAAAAGGCGCTCCATCTCTCCAATGTGTTGGAGCATTCAGATGCTGGAACCTTCCAACTTGGAGTTTCTAGATATTGACAAAGAGGGTTGCAAGAGCATGGCGGGGGTGAGAGCATTTCCATCAACATCCACATAAAGTGGACGCTTATTTAGGATAGCCTCTACGCGGCACAGGAACGTCTCCATGACGTTGTGCGCCCAGCATTTTTCTTGGATACAATGCCTGAGACAGCGCTTGATATCCTTGATCATCCGCTCCCAGGATCCACCCCAGTGTGGAGATCCAGGAGGATTGGTTTTAAACTCAATGCGCCATTCGGCAGAACAGCCGGAAACTATGCCATAAAAATATATTTTTGAGGCTTCTTTCGCACCAGACACAAAGGCGGTCCCGCAATCACTCCAAATGATGCGGGGCTGGCCTCTTCTGCGGATAAACCTTTCGAGGGACAACATGAACTTCTCGGTACTGAGACCGGTGCAGAGCTCCAAATGGATTGCTCTGGTAGTTAAACACATAAAGAGGAGGCCCCACTGCTTTGAATTTCCTTTACCAAAGTAGGGGCCGAAATGATCAATGCCACAATGGGTGAAAGGAGGGGATCCCTCCGCAACCCGGTTGCCATGCAACGGAGCCAGCAAAGTGTTGACTGGGATTGGATTCTTAGCCCGACATTCAACACATCTGTACAAGACATACCTGATTAAACTCGCCATCCTGGGGATCAGGTATCAGGATCAGGTTTTATACACGTCAACTTTTTAAAATCCCTATCTGAAATCCCTTGGAAATAATTTTTGACGCAAGATTTTAACAAAATTTCTGTTGGCACTTATTGAGGGACATTCATTGAATGTACAATTTTTATCCGGTTTTTTTTGTATAATTGAATTTTACTTGTAGAATACAATTACAAGCCAAAAGTAAAACAAGTTTTTCTTCTAGTTGAAAGTATCCCAGAAGATTGTCTGATGTGCCAGCCTCATTGTGGTGTGTGCATCATCGCACGCAGGCTGAATCCTGATGAAGATGGATCTGGGCTTTCCTTTGCGATAGGGATCAGTGGTGTCGATTTGGCGCTAGGTCAGTGTTGCAACCCGGGTCGGATGGTCTCATGGCGTGCGGAAAGTATGTCTGGATTACAGCCATGCCGGACAATTTGTTGAGCGTGAAACGATTCCACCTCAGCTACTTTCTATAGAGAACAGATTGGATTGTATCCCGGGTCAGATTTTAGGGATCTGATCGTGGCAATACAACCCCCGTTTAGCACGAGAAAACCCATGCATGGCGGGTTTTTTGTGTGTGTGGGCTAAATTATTTATGACAACCTACGCTGAGAAGGAAAAATCTGAGCGCCGCCAATCAGTTCTAGTCCTAGGTATTTAAATTTATTACTGTACCTTAAAATTTTGATTTCCACAATTTTGATTTCCCATCATTTCAATTTTTAAAATTGTCTGTTGAAAAGTGAGTAAAAGCGTCCTGTTTGAATCAATTATAATGTGCACCAAAGCTTGTATTTTTTTTACGTTTTCCATGCCCTTTTTTTCTCCTTCTTTAAAAAATACAGTAAGTGCATCTGGTGAGGGAATAAAATATTAATAATTCTATGTATCTAGATGGACTGAATCTACAGTATGAAAGATACAGCAATCTGGAATCGGTAATATAATTCTATTGGGTTTTCAAAAGTTCACAACACGGTAAAAAAAAATAAGTGCCTAAGAAATCTTGAAAGTCTTTAGATTCATCCAATATGAATCTCTATACTTTTTTCTTATTTTCCGCAGAATGGGTTGCGAGTGTATCATTTCAGGCCTGTGGGGGGGGGGGATTTTCAGAATTTTTGATTTGAGGTAATTTAATGAACGGGCCTTCTGTGAAACCACTTTCACTAAAACTTTGCCAAAAACTTTTTCATCTTACTGCCTTTTTTTTTGGACATTTTCGAAATTCCTGTTCAGGTCTGTCTGGTATTGCAAGTCTATGGCTTTATTTCAACAATTTCAAATCAGAAGATGGGGATTTTCTTAATTGTTCAAGAGCATGGATGTGCGACACTAAATTAAGGGTTGCAAAGAAAAGAACGAGCATTAAAAGCCAATTCACTTGAAGGGTTCTTCTTTCCTGAAGGACGAATTAGAGAATTCTTTGTGAAACCAGTCTAGTGGAAAATGGCTGTACTTGTGTCAAGTACCTGTACTCTTATCTTCAGTTGGGTATGACGCGTTCAGGATATCCTTCCAAAGTCGCCCGTTGGCAAAGGAGTTTTCCCTTGTGTTTTTTTGTTTAGCTCTCGCAGGTCAAGTTCAACTCATCGCACGTGGCCAATGAGTTGAAGCACATGCTTGACCCTTGACACGATGAGTCGACTTGTCTCTGTGAGAACCCTTGACTGGAGTATTGTTTTGTTGCTCCTAGGTCTTTTGAGGTTCGGAGAACAAGATGGCCGGGTCACAGTGCCGAGAGAGGGAGAGATTGATGTAGTCCTTCCAGAAGAAAAGCTTTATGACAGGTTCCGGGGTCTGAATGCAAATTTTGCAGCTTCTAAGTGCAGCGGGAATCAATCGAGCAAACATTGGCGTCATTCCCAGGCCTTTCAGTTTGATAAAATGTGCAGCATTTAAAGCCAGTAGATATTTTTGAGCAAAAATTGGCTCAAAAATATCTCCTTACAACAAAAAATTGTTATTCAACATGCCGCTGAAGAAGGAAGTGCCGAGTGGTAAATGCACCCGGGAATAATTATCTGAACAACCAATTCGTTCCACTGCATCAAATTACGAAATATTTTGCATATGAATTGTAAATTGCTGAAATCAAATTTTAGTACTACTGTAACCCGGTTCTGCAGAATGGCGCATGAAACAATGATGCTCATCAGTGAAGCAGTGGGACTTGCGCAATGGATGATTTTTGCTTGGGTAGTGGATTTCGTTGGTTCTTTTTGCTGCGTCTCA